GTTCTTCCGGGTCGACTGTACAAATGGGCATGCCTCAGGGCTCAATTCTCGGCCCCTTTCTGTTTCTTGTATATATTAATGACTTACCTTACATAGTAGGGGATAACCATGATATAGTATTATTTGCCGATGATACTTCATTAATTTTCAAATTAAAACAACAGTTTTTAAATTACAACGAAGTAAATAATGCTATAGATAAGTTAGTCAATTTGTTTAATGTTATAATTTGCATTTAAATGGTACTAAAACTAAATGTATGAAATTCGTAACTTCTAATGTCAAACATGTTAATACGAATGTAATTTTAAATGGGGGAAGAACTGAGTCTTGTTGATACCACCATTTTTCTTGGAATCACACTAGACGCAAAGCTTCAATGGCTCCCCCATATATAACTAGCTAGCAGACTTATTTCTGCAGCATATGCTGTAAAAAAGATTAGAACTCTTACCACTGTTGAAACCGCTAGAATAGTTTACTTTAGTTATTTCCATAGCATTATGTCGTATGGTATTTTGCTATGGGAACACACGACTGACACTGAAATTATATTTATTTTACAGAAGAGAGTCATTAGAGCAATATATAATTTAAAACCAAAAGAGTCACTGAGACAAAAATTTAAGGAAATTAATATATTAACTCTGGCCTATAAATAAATTTATGAAAATGTACGTACATAAGAATAAACGTAGTTTTGCAAAAATAAGTGATATTTATTCTGTAAATACTAGGAACAGACACAAGTTAGTGGTACCAATTACTCGACTCCACCGAGCCAGTAATTCATTCTTGGGGCGATGTATACGCTTTTACAACAAAATCCCAGAAAATATACAAAATTTGTCGTACGCAAAGTTCAAAATTTTTGTTAAACTAAGTTTGTATAAAAAGGGTTTTTATAATATTAAGGAATTTATGGATGATGACCCCTGGGAAGGATGATCGCTACCAAGCTATTTCTAATTTGTCTTGTGTTGTTAATTGTAAACATGATTGTAAGCTATTATTTGAAAAAAAAAAGAATATAGTCCCGCTGGGTTTCTTGCTGGTTCTTCCCAGGACAGAGGTTTTTTTGCGAACCAGTGGTAAATAAAAAAAATTGACTTTCAATAAGTATTGTTTATAATCTACATTGAATAAAAAAGTTTCTGTTTCTGTTTCCATTTCTAGCAATATCCTGATAAATTTCCTCCACTTTCTCATCGGGATGTATCGAGGTTGGTGTGTTAACCTGTATGACCTTCAGCCTCTTGAAAAGATTTGTATGACATTCAGCGAATATCGTTTGGTGATTCTGAGTATACAGTATGCAACCCTCGTCGACACACTCCCAATCTTTACATCGTTGTTAACGAGAGACTTGTAGACGATAAATTCAACACCTCCTTGAGACAGATGTTCGCCTTACCGGTGATAGAACAAGTTACTGAATTCGAGAATCATCGTGTTCTCGCCCTCTCTTCGGATCTCAGATAATCCTACAACATTCCAGCGCAACCTATCTATGTCCTGTTCTAGCTCCAGGATCTTCTCGTCAGTCTTTTGGGTGCGTGTGCTGTATGTTGCCAGGTCGAGTAGTGTTAGGTGGCAACCGAACCTCCAATGGAGATTCTTATCACCCGCTACCCCGCCATGATAAAGGCTGCTCATAGGGGGATATATTGCCTTAGTTGCCACGCTTGGCGAGTGGATTGGCAACCGCAGTTTTTTTTTTATTGTACAACTTCTGGTATCATTAAGATGCTGCTGCCCATCTCCTGCCTGTTTCCCTCTGTTACCTTTTACGACACCCACGGGAAGATAGATGGACAACTCTTTATTGCATTTGAACAAAGTTATTACAATAACGGATATGAACTACAAACGGCGGGTACAAGTACAAGCGATTTTTACCTAACAAACATAAAAGGACCACCGACTTAGAAGTATATGGACTGGGCATACCTACATAATTACCGAGACTACCTACAAAAATCTGGCGCATAAAATGGCCGCCTTTTATAGGGTTGTAACTCAGCAATATGCGCAGCTGATATCTATAGTTTAACTAATATGAATTTTTCTCGTTTTATATAATCGAATTTTTTACTTAATATACTTCATTTCGTAGGTATTTACATAGATACTGGGCTGAATTTTCAATCGTCAAATAACTTACTAACTGCGTTTTTGTATAAAGAATTACTGGGATAAAGGTCCCTGATCCCATTTTATAGTATTTTAATATAAAATAATATTGAGTAATTGAGTAAAAATTAAATAAACTGTTTTAAAAATCAATACTTATTTATTATTAATTATTCTGCACATAATTCATCACAAATAGTAAGTTGTAGCAAGTTGTATATCATATTTTATTTATTCATTCAGATTGTAAATGAAAAATATTATTATTTTTCGCAAAATTCGAAAATGTGACATGACCATGAAACGGTTTAATTAAAAAATGCATCCCTACCACTATTCTTGAGTTAGAAGACAGTTATTTGCTTAGATATATGTTAAAAAAGTTACAATATTATAAGTGAATAGTCACACAATCTAACTACTTCATTCATATAACTACTGTCAATATATAAAAGTATTTATAACACGTGACGTGATGAAATTATGCTTCACAAATTTATTTTAATTTGAAAATCAATTGCCGTATGTTAGATTTGCAAAAACTCAGAATTTACTCTAAATTAAGGGTTTTTGTGGTGGTTAGGGTCATCTAGTAACATAATAATGTTATTACATAGAAGAAAAAGACCTACTATAAGAGAAGATGAGGCCACTGCACTACACAACAAAAAAACTTTTAGCATGCTGTTTCGGACGGCAGAGACACGTCCAGTGCCCGTACAGTCGCCCTGGGACAATCTCCCACTTGATGACGTACGTTCCTTGCTTAGTGCTGGTGACGCTCGTCCCACGCACCCCTGAATGCGTATGTATAGTACGACCCCACTGGGACCTGCTCCAACGATCGTCCTTAATGTCGCTCAGAAGCGCGTACCAGGGCCGAGCAGCATAGATGGTGATAGGCCGGATATACGTCTTGTATATCCGGGGCTTGGTTCTTGTCGGCAACTTGGATGCCAGGACCGGCTGGAGCATCGCCCGCGCATATCTGGCTCTGCGGACGACGAATTCGACGTGCGCGGTCATGCGCAGCGTCCTGTCGATCCGGCACCCAAGGTAAGTCACAGCCTTCTGGTACGCGATTTTCTGGCCATTGAAGATCAGCGGAGGTGGTAACTTCCTGAGACGGCGAGTGAGCAGAGCGGTCGTCTTACTAACGTTGACGACCATCCTCCACTCGTCCAGCCATGGTGGCAACAGGTCCAGCAGACGCTGCATGCTGGCAGTGGCTATGTGGGCTCTTCTGGACGAGGTGAAATAGGCGCTATCGACCGCAAATAGCGCCAGCTCGACGTCGTCCTCCCACTCTTGCAGCCTGCCTGCCAGTGTTGGGATGTCGTTAGTATAAGCCGCGTACAGGACTGGAGACAAACAGCTGCCCTGTGGAACGCCGGCTCTGATGGATCTGGTTGCGGACTCGGCGTCCTTTACGCAGACGTAGAACTTCCTGTCTTCCAGGAAAGACGCCACTAGCCACAACATAGCAGGAGGGACACTGGTCTGTTCGTGCAGTTTGTATAGTAATCCTGCGTGCCACACCCGGTCGAACGCTTTCTCTATGTCGAGAAAGACGCCCAACGATATGCGGCCTCGGTTGTACTCTGCCGCAAGCAGGTGCAGCACTCCAGTCAGCTGTGTGACTGTGGAGTGACCCCTCCTGAATCCGTGCTGCTCCGCCCGAAGTTGGATGCACGGACGGAGACGTCTCAGCAGCAATCTTTCAAGCAGTTTAGCTATGTATATATGTATATATGTATGTCACGGTAATAGCGTGATCGGCCTGTAGCTGATAGCTCTACGCCTGTCCTTCCCGGGTTTCGGCAAGACGATAACTTCGCCTTTCTTCCAGTCCTCCGGGAAGTGGGATGTCCGTAATATCCCATTGTAGAGTCGACCAATCTCTACTAGGACTCTATTGGGCAGCTGTCGGAGTGTCGAGTCGGAGCGTTGGTAATCCCGTCGTACCCCGGCGCCTACCTCAGTTGCCGGCGGGTTACTGTCCTCCGCAGTTCAGCGGGGGAGATGAACCACTTTCCTGCAAGAGGCGGCGCGGGCGACGACAGGAACTCCTGTACGCGGCTCTCCTTCCGGGCATGAAGCTCCATGAACTCCGCTCTTGCTGGGTTCGGCATAAATTGCTCCTCGAAGTGCTCTACTAGGATATCCGCTCTGCCCCCAGGCATCGTAGCAGCGTTCACCCGCGCTGATGGTCAGCGGGCAAACGGGCTTTGGTCAACTATAGGTTCAGTTTATAGAGCGACGCATCATGCTCACCCGCCTTCCATATGCGCCGCTCCCAGGCCTCTCCTCTGTAGGCCTGGACTGCAACCGACAGTTCCTACGATAAGGTGTTCAACTGCGTCTTCAGTCTTGGGCAGCGAGTACGCGCCCAGAGCTTCCTCAACGCTCTCTTGCGCCTGATCTGCACGCATATCTCTTGCGGCAGATCGTCTTGCCTTGCTGTGATCGGGGCGATCGTAGAGGCCACGTGGAGGGCCTCCTAGATTTTTTGGTGATTCTGGTAGCAGCGGCCTCTACATCGTCCGCTGTGCATATAGGATGATGAACTGGAGGTCTCTCCTGCAGGTGTTGATGGTAGAGCCTCCAGTCGATACGTGTCTTGAATGCTCTGGGCGGCGTAGTCACCGCCTTTGTGCCAAGGGTGATCAGAATCGGGAGGTGCTGCGAGTTCAGGTCGTACAGCACCTCTACCACTATCGTGTAGTTGACGTTCCTAGTGAGCACGATGTCCAATACATTCGGACGTTTTCGTGGGTCAGATGGAACGTGTGTCGGTTCTTCGGGACCTAAAACGTCATAATTGTTGTTCTCCGCGTCTTCATAAAGTGCATGACCCGGCGGGGTGATCACTCTGGACCCCCACGCTTTAGACCGAGTATCCAGAAGCGTTGTCGTATTTCATTCATCATCGTTGCGTGATTTCCATGATTGAAGCGGCAGTGGAATTCTTCTATGATGAGTTGTGTTGTCTTGTCCTTGCTGTCGAGCACGATGGGTCGTTTGTAGTCCCTGGTCACACCCTGTATCGCGTCGATTCTTCCTTTCAGCCGCAGGAGACCCTCTTCTAGTATTACGTCGAGCCTTTTCAATTTGCTGCTGCCCTCTAATTGCTTCCCTTGCTGAAGGCACTTGATGTCTTCTCTGAAACTTTTATCTTGGCTTCTTTTCAGCAAAAGAGTTTCAGCTTGCTCAAGTAGTTCGGTGTCCAGCGGTATATATTTCCTTTCTATTATTTTCGAAGATCTGTGTTGCTTCTCTACAGTCTTCGTTCCTTTTCTTTGTGTCATTTTCCAGGTGGGATCATTTTTGCAGACGTTGACCTTCTGCCTTTTTCTGCAGAGTTGTAAGAACTGCAGTACTCTCGCTGTGGCTCGCCAAAGCCTCTTCCATGAAGAGAATCTCTCGGGGTCTGGTGATGGATGAGATGTTTGTGCCGTTGCTGCGACGTCCGCTGCCCTTTCTTTGCTGGTGGTTGTCTTCTTGAAGGTTCTTGGTGCCGGCCAATGTGCCTCTTATTTTTTCAGGAAGCTTGGTCCGGTGTACCATTAGTGGTTGCAGTCGAAGTCTTCTGGTACATCGTGCATTGTGTCATCTGCAGGATTCTGCGCTGTAGGCACCCATCTCCAGTCTTGCGGTTTGGTGAGGTCCTCTATCTCCGTCAAGCGATGAGCCACGAACGTCTTGAAGGTTCTCGGATCTGTTTTATCCAGGAAAGTACGATGCTGGAGTCTGTCCAAAATGTTTTTTTTTTGTTACTTTCAGGTCCAATTCCTCTTCTGCTGAATGAGCCAGTCTGCTTCTTAGGTGGGCTGCCTGCAGTTCGAGTCTTGGGATGGACACTGGCTTCAGTGGAGTGACTCTCGCCTTTGCTGCCACTAAGCTGACGTGGTAAGTCCTATCTTGATCTTCTGTCCTCCAATAAACTGCCGCTGCGAACGCCAGCTCGCTCGCATCCACGAAAGTGTGTAGCTCCCCCTCGGTACAATGTGGCGCCAGGCATCTCGGAACTTGCAGGCCTTGGAGCAGCTTCATCTTCTCCAGGTAGGTTTTCCATGCTTCGAAGTCACACCCCGGTAAGTGTTCTTCTTACTTATGACGCCTGCTTGTATATTTGTGTTTTATTAGTTAATCCGCCCAATTTCATTTCTCCTAATGTGATCAAGCAGGATTCCTTCATAAACCCTGGCAAGCAATAGGTTTTTTTTTTGGAAGAGCGAGTGCATTGTCAAGGAACCGCATGCTACAGCCGCCATTTAGCAGAAGAAGCCAACCGCGTATACAGTCCATCTAGTATAACATCTCGCGTAGTAGGGCCAAGGCTCGACCGGGGAATTGTGACTTTTTTTTTTGCGCCCGAAGCAAATATGGGCAACCCTCCGGAAAGCGGGGGAGGGAGGTTGGGAATGCTCGTAGCATACCACGCAGCCAGCTGCGTGGTTATGTGATGACTTTTACCCACTAAACCCAACCTTTTAGGAACTGGCTTAACGATCTGACTAGAGATCTCTAAGCCGTATACGAACGCGGCAGAAAGGAGGGCGCAGAATTGTGACTCGGCAACCTTAAGGCCCGCCGCCCAACCATTTATGATCCTTCGGCCGGATTTGTACTGGTGTTTACAGCCTCACCAACCATTCAATCATCGAATTGCTAGATTAATTCCTTAGACAATGCACTCTGATTTAAAATTGAATAGATTTAAATAGTGTTCGTTTAGTTTAAATTTAAAATTTGGTTAGTTTTATTCGCAAATAGAATTATTCATTTAAATAGTGTTTGTTTGGTTTGAGTTTGGAATTTATTGGTTACTCGCATAAGTGAATCGACTTATTTATTTAAAATAGTTTAGTTCCGCACGGATTATTCGGCCTACCCGACATTTGTAAAAAAACAGTGTAAGTTTAGCTTACCTACCGACGCGCGTCGCCTCGTTTCGTTGCAAAGGTGTTCAATTTAACGACGTAATACGGCACGATAAGACAATAGTGTTGTGAGTTATAGTTATATTACATTGTGTCCATCCTCAAGCGTTGTGCAATTAATTGTGATTAATGTAATATTAATTATAGTAATTTAAAATAGCAGTTAGTGGAAATGAAATTAAATTTAAAACTCTTTACGGCAAGAGGGACGTACTCTTTTCGCGTATACAATATATAAGTGATCACATAAAGAATATTAACGTAGAAGCAGTGTGGGAGACGTTTTTGTGTGAAATCGAAACGGTGGACTCTTTGCGGACGGATTACGAAAAGATATTAGACCAATTCAATAATTTGGAATTACAAATCGACCCTAAGTATACAGTAAATTACCAGACACTGCTATCATTTGAAGACATGTTGTGTCGCGTGAAAAGAACGGCAAAGCTCTTGCAGTCCCCATCTCAAAGCGAAGCAAAGCCGGAAGCCCAGGTACGCCCACGTGATCCACTCAGATTGCCCCCCATAGATATTCCGGTATTCAATGGCGATATTAAAACTTGGCCGCTTTACTTTAGTAGTTTTCAAAACAACATACATAATAATCCATCGTTAACGGACGCTGAAAAATTATATTACTTAATTAGTAAATTAAGCGGAAGGGCACAGTCCATTTGTTCGGGCTTCACACCAACAGCAAATAATTATTCGTTAATATTTGAAACACTTAAGGACAAATATGAAGATAAGAGAATGATAGCCTCTTCATATTTAGACCAAATATTCGATGTTAAAGCTATTTCATCCGCGAACATCACCGGCTTAGAGCAGTTTTTGGATAAATTTGTAGCATCGGTGGCTGCACTTAGGAACCTGAAATTTAATGACCTTACGGAAGTGGTGTTTCTCCATATCGCCTTAAAGAAATTAGATTCAAACACCGTGTGTGCGTTTGAAATGGAGCATCGTACTTCTGAGTTACCGTCATTCGATTTATTAGCATCCTTTGTGCGAGATCAAATTAAAGTGATACAGCGCTCCTCGAATGTTAAACAAGAAGTCAAGAAATGTGTCGACCGCAGACAGACTTCATCATTTAGACCCGCAGGGCCTCTAACGTACGTAACCGCTGCGCCTGCATCGCTTCATAACGCCTGTGTTCTATGTAAAAATTAAAAAAAGACAGTTGTCAGTTGTCAGCGTTTAGGGCTGCCAATAAATAGGACACCTTCATGTCCCGTAGTCAAAGGCATCGGAGGTACTAATAAAGTTACCCAAGGATATATAAATTTGAAATTTTATTCTCGGCTACAACGTAATGTTAACTTTGATATAAATGCGTTAGTAGTAAATAAAGTCACTGAACGTCTGCCAACCGTTTCGGTTGACACCTCGGCAATGATTGATTTTGAAAATTTGATGCTGGCAGACGATACCTACGCCGTCCCCGGAGACATAAACATGCTCATTGGAGCATCGTTTTTCCCTCATCTTTTGTTACACAACAAGGTCAGGGGCAACTCCTCGCATAACGCGCCTTACGCACTGGAAACCGTCTTGGGCTATGTCATCGTTGGCTCCGCCCCTATTATGGATAATATTTCGGCAACCTCTTATTGTTGTATGGCTGTCGCACCGCTCGAGTCGTTAGTCCGCAAATTTTGGGAGATGGAGGAGGTGAACGATCCACCTATAGTTTGGCCAGATGATAGATTATGCGAGGAAATTTACGTCCACATGACCGTTGGTGATCGCGACGGTCGATATAGTGTAGCGCTACCCTTTAAAGGAGATGTTTTATCTTTCGGCTATTCGCGTCAAATGGCGGAAAAACGTTTTTACAGTTTGGAGCGTAGGATGCTCGCCTCACCCAGATTAAAGGAAGCTTATGACGGCGTCATTAATGAATATATAAGGGAGGGTTACATATCACTTGTGGCTCCAAAATTAGATAACTACGAAGACACACCGTCGTATTTCATACCACATCACGGGGTTATTAGGGAAGACAAACTTACGTCTAAGTTACGTGTAGTGCTCGACGCTAGTGCTAAAACTAGCACTCACCTTTCTCTTAACGATATCTTCTACAGTGGGCAAAATTTACAGGGCAGTTTATTCAACATAATAGTAAATTTTCGTTTGTTCAGTATAGCACTATCCGCCGATATTCGCCAAATGTTTCTTTGCATAGGAGTCCGTGAATGTGACCGTCGATTCCAACGCATTTTATATCGTTTCAACCCAAAAGAACCTCTATTGGTGTTTGAATTTAACCGAGTTTGCTTTGGTTTAAAGTCGATCCCATTTCATGCGTTACGCACGGTGTGACAACTCGCCTACGATGAAGGTCCCTCTTATCCTAAAGCTAAGAGGGCAATTGAAAGTGGATTATATATGGATGATTTTGTGTATTCGGTTGATAGCGTGGAGGAGGCCACCTTAATCACCGCCGAGATTATAAAGCTCATGAAAGCGAGTCAATTCGATCTCGTCAAGTGGACTAGTAATTCGCGTACGGTTTTAGATACAATCCCACTATCACACCGTCTTTCGGCGATAAAGGAATTCGACGATTCTGATACGCACAAGGTGCTCGGTTTGTGTTAGTCACCAGAGTCCGACGTGTTTAGCCTTAAGGTAAACTCGCCCTCAGAAACGTGCACAAAGCGCACAATGCTGTCATGCGTTGCTAGATTATGGGATGTCATGGGTTTCGTAGCCCCGGTGGTACTCATACGCTAAGCTTTTGATTAAACAACTTTGGTTATGTGAATGCGATTGGGATGACCCGCCGCCTGATAGCATTGTTCGGTCGTGGCAGCGTTTTAGAGAGGAACTTTCATTACTAAGCGAAATTAAAATACCGCGTCACATAAACGTCGATAGAAATAGCGTCATCACGGTCGTTGGGTTTGCAGACGCTAGCGAGAAGGCTTACGGGGGTGTTGTATAGTTTCAAGTCCAGAATAATGATAGAAATTCGATCAGCTTCATTAGCTCTAAGTTAAGAGTCTCCCCCCGTAAGGTTGTCTCCCTCGCGCGCTTGGAGCTTTGCGCGATATTAGTCCTTACCAAGCTTATCACCGCAGTTATCAGTGCATGTAGTGACAGAGTTCACATAGAAAGGATATTTGCCTTTTCTGACTCAACCGTTGCTTTATGTTGGGTTCATTCTTCACCCCACCGTTGGGATACGTTTGTCGCGAACCGAGTGGCCAAGATCCAAGACGAGTTAGGAACACGGAACTTTTATCACGTGTCCGGTGCGGAAAACCCTGCCGATTGTCTATCCCGTGGACTCACCCCGATGCAGATAATGGACCATCCGCTTTGGTTCCACGGAACTTCTTGGGTTCACTTTG